CCGCGCCCCCCTCGCGGCACCGCCGAGGGCTCACCGAGCGGCGTGCGCGCAGCTCCGGACACGGCCGTGCGCCATGCGCCCTGCGCGCAGAGGGCAGAGAGAGTCCCGGCTGCAGCCACCTGGCCCTTGGAGGCCTGGGGGCCGTTCTGTCCCGGAACCTGCAAAAGAGACAGAAAGATGTCAGTTGTGCCTGGAAGGCAGCCACTGCCCATCATTCTTTCCTCCACTATCATTGATAGTCCATTGGAGCACATCGACTCATAGCGACTCAATGAACAAAAGGCCTGAAGCCCTTCCCCAACCATCGCCTGTTATCAGAGTTTCCAGAGGCATGGTGTTTAGGAGGTGGATAAGCACCTACTGTGTGCCTGCCTCTGCAGGGAGAGAGGACACACGATCTGATACCAGGTCCCTGCTTTTCTGAAGCCCATACATCGCCTAGGGAGCTCTGATGTGGTAAGAAGCTGCTCTGTAATTCCAAAGGCAGGCAATTCGAATCTCCCAGCTGCACCGCAGGAAGGGTAGCCATCTCCTGAGCAGTTTACTGCCTCTGAAAACTTGGTGGTACACCACCACAACACAGAGAGACTAGTATTTGCCCTAGCTTTCCCAGGCCTAAGTCTCTCCTTTCAATGTCCATCATCTCTCCCACCCTAGACTGGCCTCCCCTGCCCCTTCTCATAGATCTGTGTCCACAGGAGGAGGGGCCTTCCCAGCTGACCCTGACTGATCATCCCACCAGCCTACCCACCCTGGAATGGCCAGAGATTCAGCAGGCCCTTTTAAAAGGGTCTTCAGGCCCCTGCGCAGGGCCTAGGGCTGAGTGCAGACAGCCCTGTGATTAGCACTCAGCTGCCCACTGCCTCCTCTCCCAGAGCCGCATGGAAAGACCCTCTGATTCCCGCTCATTCCAGTGGGAGTGTCCCAGTCCCTAGTGACTTGCTTAGGAACATTCTGTGTGGCTTCAGGCAGGGCCACCACCTGAGCTTGTCTTTGGTGTCTCCACATTCCCCCAGAAAACCTTTCCGTTTCCAGAGTGGAAGAGCTGGTTCTCCTCCCCCACTCGGGCCTCCACTGCCATCCCCAGATCAATCCATCTCCTTTCCTCCCTCCATCAGATCCTGCTTTCAGCAGCAAAGGATCTGAGGGACTAACTCCTACTCAAGCCATAATGATGAATAATGGCTTAATGTGGGTGTTTACAGGGGACATCCGCACTGCTTTAATGGAGGCGTTTCAGGCACTAGAGCGGAGTGAGCGGAGGTGAGGGGCTCCATCCCAGCTCCTCACCACCCCTCCCAATTCAGTACCCTCAACTCCATCCTATGGAGGTTGGGCTGGGGCTGGGGGCAAAGAAAAACGACCTCATAATTTGTGTGTGTGTGTGGGGGGGGGTGGTGACAAAGCCAAATCAAGCACACTGCCACTGAGTCAATTCTTCTTACTCATTGCGACCCTCCCTGTAGGAGAGAGTAGATCTGCCCCAGAGGTTTTTTTATGATGGTAAAGCTTTCCAGGTGCAGCCTGCCAGCCCGGTTCTCCTGCAGAGCAGTGCCTGGTTCCCAACCATTGTTCTTTTAGTCAGCAGCAGACAGCATTAGCCACTGTCCTTTAATAACCCATATACCAAACGGAGGGACTGTGATCAGGGCTGTAAAAAGGGCAACAGCTTGATATGTGGGAGTTCAGGGTAGAGAGAGAGAGAGCAGAGGAGTTTGGAAGGGGAGGTGAGTGGCAAGAAATCAGGGGCTGCTTCCTGGAGGAAGGGGCACCTGACAGGGCCGAGATGGGAAGAAGGGGTGGACATCCCAGACAGGGCATGTGCCTGAAGGCGGGGTGTGGTTTGGTTATTCAAGGAGTTAGGATGGGAATGCGGGAGGGGGGACTGGGGTGGGGGGATGAAGGGCTGACCTAGACCCAGGCAGGGCAAAGGAAGTGGGGTCGAAGACTTACTGACCCCTCCTTTGACCCAGCACCTCGGGAGTGTTTCCCAGTTTCCCCATGCCTTTGTGAGTCACAACTGTGAGAGCTGATGCTTCGTCCCCGATTGGCAGAGGCCTGACTGGGCCAGTAGTGGCACCAGAATTTCTGTATAGAAGGGGTTTCAGGGTGCAGAGTCATGTGAAAGGGCTGGAACCGTGTCTCTAAGGCAACAAAGAGTTGGCGGATGGAGGAGAAGGGTCCTGCACCTGCTGGCCCCCTCTGCTGCAGGCCCCGCCCTGGACAGCTGAGCCTCAGTCCTGCTTTGGGCATCGGCCCCCTCCTCCCACATCCTAACCACATCGTGTGGGATCTAGGAATCAAAGCTGAACCAAGGGATGTTAGTAGACTCTCCCCCTCCCTGGTGCCCCTCTCTCCATTCAGGAACCATGCGGCTGCCTCCGGGGACTGGCTTTTATTCCCCGCATTACAGCCTGGGCTGGTCATAATAAGGCTGGAGTTATGGGTGAGGAAGAGGCACCGCTCGGAAGCCTTCATTTCCTGGAGCTTATGACTTCTCCGCGCTGAGGGAACTGCTCCCCTGACTCTGTCAGGCAGTTCCAGGGACGTCATGGCCCTGCAGGGAGCAGCAGGAGGGGTGAGGGAGGGAGGGCCCAGCGGGAGGCTGGGTGGGGCGGTGCAGGAAGCCTGGGGGTGGGGAGAACCCTCAGCATCTTCAGACATCCAGCTGTTGGCTTTCCTCTTTCCTACCTGTCTCCCTCGCTTCCTTTCTTCCTAATGTTTACAAGCAGGAGGATCCAATATTTCAATCATTTATTCACTCATCAAACATCAGTGCTGTGAGTGTCAACCACACGACCACACAGATGCATTCCATTCATTTAGCCAGTCAAAATCATTTCTGTAAGACAGCAAGATGCAGTCAGTTAGTCGACGACCTATCAGGAGAGAGGCTGTTCATCTGCGTCTTCATTTGCTCTTTCCACAAATATTTGCCAGTCGGTCCCTAACGTCCCCAATGCTGGGCACTGGGGAGGCAATAATCATGACAATGTCCACGTCCTTAAGGAGCTGACCTTTCAGCGAGGGAGCGAGAATGAAGGAATAAAGTTACCCTGTATTCACTCTCTCTGAGAAGGTGTCGTTTGCCTGAAGCTGGAGGGATGAAAAGGAGTGCAACCGGAGAAGGTTCTGGACAGAGGGAACAGCATGTGCAAAGGCCCAGAGGCTGGATACATGGAACAGCAAGGAGGTCACCGAAGTTGGTGCACAGCAAGGGCGTGGCTGGCAATGGGATGGGACCTGGCTGGGGGAACCTTTTGAGTTTGATTTTAAGTGTTCAGAGAAGCCCTTGGAAGAGTTTTACACAGTAAAAAAACCACAGCATTGACGCTGTTGTTATGTGCCGTCGAGTCGCCTGCAACTCATAGTGACCCTATGTACAACAGCCCTAAACTCCGCTCTGTCCTGTGCCAATCGCACTGTCTCTGACACTCCCATCCAGATTATCCCAGTCACTGAATCAATCCACCTCATAGAGGGTCTTCCTCTCCTGCGCCGTCCCTCCACCCTCCCAAGCATGATGTCCCTCTCTAAGGACCGGTCTCTCCTCACAACATGTCCAAAGTATGTTAGACAGAGCCTCAGAATCCTTGCCTCCAAGGAGCCACCTGGTTTAACCCTTTCCAGGACAAATCTGTTTGTTTTCCTAGCAGTCCACGGTATTCTCAATACTCTTCTCCAGCACCACAGCTCAAAGGCTGTCACAGCATTGACTAAACAGGGAATTCCATGATGTCAGCCTTCCATGCTGGGGTTCCTACAGTGGATTGTAAAATAAATACAGCATCATGTGACGGTGGTACAGGCTTGTCGTTTATGTGTGTTTATGTGTGAACGATGGATCAGAACCATGCCCTACCCTGTACTATCATCCTCTCCTACACACTCTAGCCTGTTATTAGTCACCATGTGAATCCATCTTGTTGAGGGTCTTCTCTCATGTTGACCCTCCACCTTTCCAAGCACGACGTCCTTCTCCAAGGACTAGCCCCTCCTGACAGCATGCCCAAAGAATGTAAGAAGTCTGACGCCATGGAGCACCCTGGTCTCAGCTGGTTCCGCCTCCTGGTGACTCTATGTTTAACAGGACGAAACACAGGCGGTCCTGAACCATCCTCACAATCGCTGCTGTCTTGGAGCCCATCTTTGCTGCCACTGTGCCCCTCCACCTGGACGGAGGGTCTTCCTCTTCTCCGCTGACCCTCTACATTCCCTGGTGGCCTAGTAGTAAGGAATCGCACTGGCAACCCAAAGGTACATGGTTCAAATCCACCAGCTTCGCCACAGGAGAAAGTTGGGCTATCTACTCCCATACGATTAACTGCCTCTGAAAACCCTCTGGAGGGTCAGCTATGCGTCCCTTCCAACTCGATAATATACAACAACAACAACTACTACTACTTTACATGCATGATGTCCTTCTCTGGGGACAGCTTCCTTTCTGATCTTGTGTACAAAATATTTGAGACAAAGTCTCACCGTACTTGCTTCTAAGGGGCATTCTAGCTGGAAGGACTTAGACGTGTGGGATTGGGCGTCAAGCAGGAAGTCTGAATAAGAAGGTGGTGCTGGGGTCACATGCCCATTTTAAAGATTGGGAAAGTGCTGTTGCCCCAGCTGGTGATGGAGCAGAGGCTTGAACTGGGGACTTGAATTCCTCTTGGCAGAGTCCCTTTGAGGGAATAGAAGAGAGCATCACCTGGGTGGATGCAGCTCAGGGCCTGGGGTCCCCATGGTACACCCAGGAGGTCTGCATCTCAGCCCCAGCCTCCTGCCCCTGGCGGGGCGCCCTGCTGCAGGGCACATAGCCTGCACTGCTGTGTGAGGGCTCAGTGCTGCGCCTCATGGCTCCGCTCTCCCTCCCCCACCTGGGCCTTCATACCTCATAGCCGACAGG